CCCTGGTGGTGTAGTGGTTGAGAGTCCGCCTGCCAATGCAGGGGACACGGGTTCGTGCCCCAGTCTGGGAAGATCCCACATGCCACGGAGCAGCTGGGCCCGTAAGCCATGGCCGCTAATCCTGCGCGTCCGGAGCCTGTGCTCCGCAACGGGAGAGGCCACAGCAGTGAGAGGCCCACGTACCGCAAAAAAAAAAAAAAATGGGCATAAGAGAGAATTGCAGATCAATTACGGGTCTTTCATAACCCAACACAAGTCACCTACAAGCCACGTGGAGCCCAGAGAGACGGAGAACACTGCTGCTTCCCCTCCCTGCCAACCTGGAAGGAGAACAGCATCTCCATTTGTAGAGTATTTCCATGCACATTATCTGCTTTAATCCTTAAAACAATCCCAAGAGAGAGGTAACAGGGGTTACCATCATTATGTAGAGATTGTGCTGAAGATGCAGCCTTCAGATCTGGGACCAGAAACCCCCTCCTCATTGCCTCCACACTGTGGGAGATCCGGATTTTCCCAGAAAACAAAAAAAAAACTAAAAGCCAGCTGCCATCTCTACCAGTAGCTTCTGGGATGGCTAAAAATAAAAAGGCGGAAGGGCCAAGGAGAGTGAGGGTCCACGGGCTGGAGGCCCGGCAGCTGCCTTGGGCTCACCTTGCAGACAGCCCTACAGACGGCTGGAAGGGGAGCTGAGTGACCTCTCAGCCCCTCCTCACACACCAGGCTGGGAGGCAAGACAGCTGGTGTGTACCCAGGAGGATGCTGGCTGCCTTGGTCCCTCAGTGAGGGGTACGGAATGATCATTCCAACCCTCAAAGGTCAACGTGCATCATGCCAATGTCAGAACAGGGACCCTCCTAAAGCAGTGACAGCTACACTGTCCTCAAGAAGTCTCCCTCCTTTCCCCTGCAAAAAAAAAAAAAAAAAAGAGCCTTCCGGCCAGAGGGGAATCTAGGGCAGCAGAGAGACAGCCCGAGCACATCCTGGCAGGAAGGCCAACTGCCAACGGCCTGGACAGACTGGGGCTGCAGGCACAGTGGTTAGGAGCTTGGGTTCTGAGGGGACACCGACCTGGGACCACATCCCAGCACCCCCGGAAGAAAGGGCAGCCTGGCCTGCACAGCTGCACCTCAGTCCATGAGCAACCAGCCCCCCTTTCCGCAGAGCCCTTCCCAGTGGCCGCAGTGAGGGCCGGCAGTGGTCACCTCCACACACAGGCTAGTGGCCCAGACAAGGTCACTCTTTGGACGGCCCGGAGTGTTGCTTCAGGAGACCCCGGCAGGTGCCCAGGGTTTCTGTGACTCTCAGGGGCTCACTGGACGGGGACTCCCCAGAGGGGTACCCCAGATGAGGCTGAGAGCGAGCTGGGCGCTGGGGCTGCAGAAGGACCACTTCTCCTCCCGCCTCCCCTTTGCTCTCTCCCCCTCCTGCCTATGCAGCAGCCTTGACTGCAGCAAACTCCTCTGGGCCAGAGGCTATGGCAGAAAAGGAGGAAAAACCTCTCCCACGGCCACGGAGCTGGGGAGCCGGGGGCCTGGATGGTGGGGCTGGGGGTCGGGGAGACACCCAAACCACCTTGCAGCTCAGAAGCCCCCGTGCCAGCGCCCGCAGCCTCTCCCTTTCCAGCACTCAGGCTGCCACCAGGAGCCGGGCCATCCGGGGCCTCCTGGCACAGGAGTCAGCGAGGGGGATGGGGGAGGGGGAGTGCCGCCACACTCTGTCCTTCTGCTTAACGGCCAGACCACGCGGCTCGGAATCCTGCCTGGACGCTTGCTGGCCATGCTCAGTCCTGCTGCGGCAGCTCGCCTGCTGAGCTCATCAAACGGCATCAAGACACTGTGACCTCTGGCGGGGAGGGCAGTCTTTCCTCCTGCAGCCTCCCCACGAGGAGGCACAGCCAAGGCCCTGATGTGCTGGGACGGGGCCTACTGGCCATGGTGGGGCAGCTGCAGGGTCCCCAGCTCCTGCAGGACCTCCCTGGGGGATGGGCTCCAAAACAGGACCCAGAGGGGAGAGCAAGGATCCGTGCTGGGGCCACAGGGCTGTACCAGGCCGCTTCCTCGGGATGCAGAGAAGCCTGTCATTCTGGGTCCCCAAGCCCCAGGGGAAAGAGAGACAGGCAGACAGAAGGTGGGGGGGAGGGAG